GGAACACGTGTGGAAACAAAGGAATAAATTTCACATACCTTGGCAAAGAAAATCAGTTAGAAAATCACAATCTTAATGGAACTTTGCAACGTGACTCACGAATGAACTTTCGGGCTAGACCAAAGAAAAAAGTGGACTCCGCTCAAGTCTGAAATAGAGCTACGGGTATAGCGGAGCGCCCTCACTAGGACTGACAAGAAAAACAAATGCGCCGTGACAACAAGTGCTTTTGTTAATTAATGGCTGGGTGCCAACCTCGCGGGCGCGGATGTTTGATGTGCGCATGATCAGTAAAGGCAACGAGCTTGATCATTCACTTGGGTATTAAGTTGAACGCCTTGTTTTGTGCAAAACGGAAAGACTCGCCCTTTTGACCCTTCGTATTTGCTTTGCATAAATAATCTTTATTAAAAATGCAAGCTGGTATCCGGCTTTTATGATAGATAATCTGTCATTAAGAATGAAGACTATGAAAATTACATTTGCAAGTCATGGCTAGGCACTAAAGCGGAAATGTGGGAGGGTTACCTTTTGCATCCCCACGACTTGTAAGAGATTTAATTTTTTAAAAATTTTTTGCCTGCACTATCCGCAACAATACATTAATCTTCGTCCACTATTTAAATCATAATATGCAACAGCAATTGCTGATGCCCAAATTAGCAAAGACTAAAAACCCCACACTTTAAAAACGAATATCGCTCCTTTGGCTTTGTGTAGTATACAAAGTGTCCTGGTATTGGTTGCGCTTAAGGCTTGGCTTTCGGTACCGGAAGCACGCACAATACGCGTGCGTGACCTGTCAATCAATTTTCTTTGGCACTTTGTGGCCAGTCTTGTTTGGGCGTGCATTGAATTTAGCAGATGTACCTGTGCACGTGGAAGTCTTTGCACAGGCGTTCTTTCGAATGCTGGATATACAATGGACTGACAGTTCCGTGTCGGGAGTTTTTTTCATGGTAGCTTGGTGAGTTCCGTATATTTCTTTGAATTGTTGTTAATTGATATTCAATTTGATCGTAATCAGTAAGAGATTTGCTGCTGTTTTTGTGTTTTGGATTTAAATCACTCTGTTTAGAATAGCCTATTTTAATCTTTATTTTAATATTTATTCGTTGGCATTATGCAGGAATAGAGGCGCAAAAGTATTTTTTGTTCGAAACTTAGTCACTCCCTCTATACCATTACGTAGGTTCGTTGCTTTGAAGGTTTTCTACAGGATGTGTATACAAGGAAACGCCAGGCTTGCTGCACGTGTCTGAGAATTTCTAAACTTCATGCGTGCTCAGTCGATTTGCAGTTAATGAAGATTAGGCCTATGTTTCTATTTATATATTGGTTTAAGTAGACTCGGGCTTCAAGCAAAACGTAATTTCTGTCATTGGCTGAAGTAAAGTCAGTCATCAAAACTAATGACAATCCATACTAAATCATTAACAAGTAAGCCTACTTCTGATTTATTTTACTAGCCATGGTAACCCAAAGTTGACACAAACTCAAGACAGTCAAATGATCATCTCTTTGATACAGGTGTGGCTCTGAAAAGAGCCGTTTGGTGTAACTAGTGGCCTGGCGCCTTTCCCCGCCGTTCCAAAAAAACTGGGAGAACTTTCTGGAGGTAATTGATGTATTGCCTGCATTTGCTTGGCGTCATCTTGTTCCTCCAGAAGTCGCTGATGCCCCGGACAAGCTCCTCCTTCGTCGACGGCTTCACGTGCCTCCTCAAGTGGCCCTTAAGCTCTGCCCAAACTGATTCTATAGAATTGAGATCAGGACTTTCTGCAGGGGTGATCCACCAGTTAATGGCTAGCTCTTTCATTACGTGCTTCGCCTCCCCACAACAATGTATTGGACATTTGTCCTGCTGGAATCGATGACCCTCCGGAAAATATCTGGTCAGAAAAGGCATCAGCCAGTGACGGAGAATTGCGTTGGCATAAAATTTCCCGTCCATGATGCCATCGAAAATGCCAAAGCCAGTCGCCCCTCGCTTACGTATCCCTGCCCAGAAATGGACTTTCAGCGGATGCTTGGGTTTAACCTTCAGGACAACTGACATGTTCTTCTTTTGGAAGCACTTT